GGGGGGGGGGAGGGGAGGAACAGGGGAAGGTCACGGTTTAGCATCACTTTGTCACAGTGCCCCACACATGCTCTGCACAAACCCCAACCCACTGCAGGTGTAAGGGGATAATGTCCCAGTATGTCTCTCTGGAGAGTCTCCGTCTGAATTACTATGATGTAATTAATGCACTAGTCCAGGCCTCGAGTTCCCTCTGTACAACTAGTGATCACAAGGCATCCTCCTCGCAAATAACTCAGAGCTCCAAGTTCTCTAGGAAGCAGGTATGAGGACAGACCAAAACCTATACTTCCCAACCCTGGTAACTTGGGCAGAGTATTCTAAATCTGCGCTGACAAGCTATGACTTGGGGAGTAGAGCAGTTCTTTGCTTACTGAGACAGGAAAGCCAGCAAAAGGAAGGGATCTGGAAAACCCAGCTCTGAACACGGAAGAGCAGGAAGGGACCCCAAGCGGCATTTTATTGGGGAAGGCAGGTGACCCAGGACGTGTCAGCATGCCAAGTGTGGTCGCAAAGCCAGGAAGGCCGGCTAGCCACAAGTGGGGAGTACCCAAGTGCTGCATACCCCCTAATGGTGCAAGAGGCAGCAGACAACACATCATTCCCTGTCTAAACCTGGAAATACTGGCCTGGAAGAGGATTCAGGGTCCAGCCTTGCTTGCAAATTCTGAGGATGCTCTACACCTCAACCCAGAGGCTTTTGCAAGAGCCACTACACAACCCATCCCCTCCCACAGAGCTTTCAGCTAGCCTCCGGATAAAGCCCAGCCACGATTTGGAAGTGGAAATGGAGGTGTGGTGATGAGCAGTAATGAACCCACTGGGAAGGCTTACCAGCAACATTTCCCTTCTTCCATAAGCTAAGGGTGACCTGTCCCAAATGCTTTATTTTTGAGAGAAAAAACCAAAAAGACTCCCATAGTTACTATAAGCCTAATGTCTTGTCGTTGAACTTTAAAGATCCTAACTATAAAGAAGAAAGACAAATATCAGTGATTTACTTCTATTGTTGTTCAAAAGTACCTTCTCCCTTCCCCAATGAAGTGCTTATAATAAACCTAAACAGAGCTTACTGTGAACTTGGCACTGTTCTCATTTAATCTCTTAACATTGATAGTCCTCGAGTAACCCCTTAACAATATAGTTACTCTGTATTGTTAATATACTGATTTACTTAGGCTTACACAACAGCCCTGTGGTAGGTCCTGTTGTTATGCCCATTTTACGGATGAGAAGCCTGAGGCACACAGGCTCAACAACTTGCCCAATGTCCCAGCTGGCAGCTGGAGAAATGAGGATTTGGGGCTTTCTAGTGTTCCTGCAACCATATGCTTAAGCACATGCCTTCCAAGACCCATAGAACTCATTTTATTTTATTTTTTTTTTAAAAAAAGACATGAAACGGAATAAGATAGGGAAAAAAAAATCAAACATTTATATCTTTTCAACCAATCCAGTGCTGTGTTAAATTCTGTGATAAGTTCCAGGGCAACACTTGCAGGCTTTTGAAAGGATGGCCTTACTCAGGCTGCTGGTGGTCGGGAGCCTCCCCTTGGGCAAGATTAGCAGAGTAAGAGCTTCGAACAAAACACACGGCCCCTCTCTTTCTCGGAGGTGACACACACACACCCACATCAGGCTGCATCACACACTGTCTGGAGCCTGTAGCTCCACCTTTTCTGTTTATGTGGTGATTTCTGTTCACTGCAACTTGACAAAGCAGAGACCAAAGGGAGCTTGGCCCAGAAAACGAGAATTCTACAAGCAATGGAAGACCCTTCCCACCTTCGCCCCTGCCTCCCCCGCTGGAGAAGGCTGTTTCTTACCCTCGCCCCCTTCTTGGCCAGCAGACACACCAGCTTCGTGTGGCCGGCAGCGGCCGCGTAGCACAGGGCAGTCATGCCGTTCTCTGACGTGCCGTCCAGGCAGGCGCCAAATTCCAGGAGCAGAGTGACCACCTCCTCGTGGCCGAGGTGAGACTGGACGCACAGGATCGGGGCGTTATTTAACACTTCGGTCCTGTAGTTCACGTTGGCTCCTCCCAAAATTAGGAGACGGCTCACCTGTTGGAGAATGTCCCCCAACAAGATTAATTTCTCACGTAGATGTCAGTCACAACAACATCTGTGGAGAAGGGTGGTATTCTTGATCCAGTGGTTCTCAAACTTGAGTGTGCACCAGTATGACCTGCACATGCCCTGAAAACGGACACTCTTGCCGGTGGGAATGTAAAATGGCACAGCTGCCACAGAAAACAGTGTGGAGGTTTCTTAAGATCCAGCAATCCCGCTCTGGGTACATATCCAAAGGAAATGAAATCAGGATCTTGGTATGTGCACTGCTGTGTACGGAAGCACTGTGCACAATAGCCAAGAGACGCAGGTGAACTAAAAGGTCAACAGATGAATGGAAAAATGTGATATGTAAATACATACAGTGGAAAATCACTCAGCCTTTAAAAGGAAGGAAATCCTGTTACATGCCACAGCATAGATGAACCTTGAGAACATGAGGCTAAGTGAACTAAGCCAGCCACAGAGAGACAAATACTATATGATTCCACTTATAGGAGGGGCATAAAGTAGTCAAATTCATAGAGACAGAAAGTAAAATGGTGGCTGCCAGGGGCTGGGAAAAGGCGGAAATGAAAATTGTTTAACAGGCATGGAGATTTAGTTTTATTCTGGAGACCTACTGTACAATAATGTGAAAATATTTAACACTACTGAATTCTGTCCTTAAAAATAGTTAAGGTGGTACGTTTTATTTTATGGTTTTTTTTAATCACAGTTAAAAATTTAGAAATGCACATTCTCTGGAATCAGACCTCTGTATTCAGTAGGCCTGGGGTAGGGCCTGAGAATGTGCCTTTTTAATGAATTCCCCCCAGGTGATACTGATGCTGTTGGTCTGGGGACCACACATTTTTTTTTAATTAAATTAATTAATTTATTTTTGGCTGCATTGGGTCATCATTGCTGGGAAGGGGCTTTCTCTAGTTGCGGGCGAGCGGGGGCTACTCTTCGTTGCGGTGCGCGTGTTTCTCCTTGCGGTAGCTTCTCTTGTTGCGGAGCACAGGCTCAGTAGTTGTGGCTCATGGGCTTAGTTGCTCCACAGCATGTGGGATCTTCCCGGACCAGTGCTCAAACCCGTGTCCCCTGCGTTGGCAGGTGGATTCCTAACCACTGCGCCACCAGCAAAGTCCCTGGGGACCACACTTTGAAAACCACTGTTTGATCCAAATAAAAACAGAAAATTCATTTTGGGGGGCAGTGAAATAATCATCACAGGATTAAATAATTAACAGTGAGATAATAAAGCCAAAAGTGAAAGCAAATACTCTATTTTCTTTACAAGGAATTGTACCTTCAAGAAAAAGCAGAACACGTGAAAATGTTCACATGCTTGGGGTTGTCAGCAGCACAAGACTCACAGAAAATCATCGGCTTTTTCTACTAATTACTACATCCACCACCCACTTAACTCCTTGGACCCAGATATCAAAGGAAGTTTGTTATCTGTAGGTTTTAAAATAAAATCACAGAATACCTTAGGCAAATTTTAGCTATACTAATATCTTCTTCAAATCTCCAGGTCATTGGAAAAATGACACTCCTTCAAACACCTATTAAGATGCCCACTGCGTTTCTTCTAACAGTTCCCTTCAATGGTCCCGATCGACATCAATCACTCCCGACAGACCCTGGCCACTTCCAGGCTGCCCATTAGGTGTGAAAACCACACAGACTGGGTCTCTTATTTGACCGGAGACACATGGGATCATTAAAAGATACAGGAAGATGACAAAACACACAAAATTCAAGGTATTTCAATGATATGGTGTCCACAAGAGTAGCTGACAGAATACTTACAAAGTGATAGAGATTATTATTCTGGTGGTGACACCACACCTCAGAAGAGTGAGACAGCATACAGACAGGTTAGAACCCAAAGTGTAAAAGCTGAAGTGGCCTGGGTTGCCACTGAAGCTTGAACCCCGGGTGACCCAGCCCTTCAGCTCCTTCTCTGACCTCGTCTCCCAGCACCCTTACCCTCACTTCCCCACACCATGACCATGCTGGGTCTAATGCTTACCCTACAACAATGGCAAGCAGGCCCTGGCCTCTTGGTCTTTCCCTCTTTCTCATATAGTTCCCTCTGCCAGGAATAAATACCCTTTCCATAGCTACAGATGGCAAAGGATCACTTCCTATGGGTCCCTGCTTCAATGCCAGGACATCAGGGAGAAGTCCCCCCATCCTATACAGAATGCCCCCAGCCCTTCCCACGCACACGCCCCCCCAACACACACACACACACACACACACACAGAGGCCGACCCCGTGCATGGCCATCTACTCTGCACACTCCATTTCCCGGTTCAGCCCATGGCACAAGATACTGGTTCTAAGACACAGACGTTCACAGATAAGAGAGGTAAACAAAGCCCCTTTATGGGTGAGGATGGCCCACGAGTCAGTTCCTTCCTGCCATTAGGACCATCACTTACATTTAAGGAAGGACCGCTTGAAGTTGGGGGGAGGGATAAATTAGGAGTTTGGGATTAACACACATACACTACCACATATAAAATAATCAACAAGGTCCTACTGTATAGCACAGGGAACAACACAATATTTTGTAATAACCTAAAAGGGAGAAGAATCTAAAAAATTATTTATATATATGAAACTGAATCACTTTGCTGCACACCTGAAACTAACACAACATTGTAAATCAACTATATTTCAGTTAAAAAAAAAGGAAGGAAGGACAGCTTGTACCCAAGTGACCAACACCTGCCTCGTCATTCACCCAATCAGGGGGACCATCTTTCAACCCCATCTGGGTCAGCACCAACCCAGCTTCCTGCAACAAACCAGCACGTGAGGATGGAAGGGCAGAAAAAAACAGGGAGGAGAAATCAGGAGAGCTGTCCCTGTCCCAAAAGTGACATGCGACGCTCAACCTCGGGCAAACTCTTCCCTGCCAAGCTTGCTCTACCACCCTATGTAGCTTTGCTCTTAAAAACAGCACAGACTCAAATAGGATTTGAAAGCATTTTAAAAGTGTAAGTGCTCAAAAAAAGTAAGGGTTTTTGAGAAAATTATTTTCCTTTGAGTAACCGCCAACAGTATAGCAGGAATAAGACAGTGCTGCTGACACAGTTGGGGATTTTATCAAGGCCTATGAAATCAGTTCTTAGGCAAGAGGAATTACAGAAGAACCCTAGCAGCTTTTTCAAAGCACACATAACATAACTGAGGGGCACCTCGGACTCTGGTCACCAAAGGACAGGCAGGAATTGTTTGTAAATTCCCAGGGTGACTTTGACAGCCAGTTACCCTCTCTCTCCCCTCTCCCACCAATCCCATTCCCTCTTCAGATTCATGAGCCTAAGAGAAAAAGATGAATTAAATAGTCTGAGTTCCCAGTCAGCCCCTTAACTAACTTGCTGTGTGATTTTCAGAAAATTACTCAACCTCTCCGTGATTCAAGTGCCTCCTAAGAAAATGACAGTACACCACCCCATGTTTCTACTGGACAGAAACTCTTTCCTAAGAATGTTGGAAGGTGTTGTTTCAGGGCTGTCTTCCTGAATACTTTATAAGAAAAGTCTTATGGAAGGTATGTGCTTAGGGGCAGAGCTTTCCTAAAGGTATTTGTTATCAGTTCTCTATCTGCTTCTTCGGAAAAATATTTCCTTTGTGGGTGCAACGCTGCGGGCATTTTTACCACTTACCCCCCAATCAGTCTGTGGATCTACCCCGAACCCATATTTCTTAACCTTGCTGCACAATGAAATCACCTGGGGGCTTGCAAGTTTCTCCAGCCCCACCCTTGGAGATTCTGACTTGGCTAGGGCCCGGGGCTCCCGAGTGGTTCCAGCTGGCAGCCATGGCTGTAAACATGTCAGGAGCAGAGCGCACCTGTGGAAGGAGCATGGGCTTGCTCGGCGGCAGGCACCCTTCCCGCTGTGGGATTTGAGTCACCCTATCACTGCCCTCACCCTCAGTTTTCTCATCTGAAAGGTGGAGATAAAAACAGTTTCACCTCCTCGGGTTGTTGTGAAGATTAAAAATGAACGTGCCATACACACAAAGCACTTAGCACAGCCCTCAGCATCCTGTAAGTGCTAAATAAATATTACTTGCTATTGTTACAATCACTTTTGATGGAATCTTTAGAAGAGACAAGGGCCCTAGTCCCTGACCCCTGGAAGGCACAGGAGGGCGCTCTGCCCCGGGAACCTGGCGAGCCGGAGGGTCTGGCCCCCCTGGGCTGCTCACCAGCACAGAGCAGCAGGGAGACCTCATGCTTATTTGAGGGCAGATGTGGACCCATTAATGCCTCATGATGGGCAGCTCCTCTTCAGGACCACCAACCTGCACACTCACAAGTTCTCAGGTGCTTACAGTAGAATCTCAGTTCTCACTTGACCATATAATAAATGCCAAGTATTCTCCCAAGAGCTTTAACATCTCAATGAGGTTTCCCATCACTCTATGATGCAGGTTCTTTTGTTACCTTCATTTTACACGTGAGAAAACTGAGGCTCAGAGCAGATGAGCCACAAATTAGCCCTGGGCACAATGCTAATTAGTATCACAGAGCAGTCCAGCAGTCCAGCAGCCGAAGCAGCAGCTCTGGCTAAGATTACTCCGCCTTCGAGGAAGGGGTTTTATAATGGTTCTTCCTGTACATTTTCTCCCAATCACAGGGAAATCGTCTGGTCATCACCACCACGAAGCTCTCCCTGGATAACAGCTGGAAATGGCAATATTACCTATATACTTCTGGATTTGATGAATACAAGAAAATAAAAAAGGGGCTAGGGGCGTAGGCAAAAATGATGTGATCCTGAGGAACAGAAGAGGCACTGTCCAGCAAGATCGCAAAGTGGGAAGCTCAGTTTTCTCATTAAGTATGTTGGAGGTTCTCATCAATACAACCGGTGTAAATGTGTGCTGCCTCGTAGTTATGCAGAATATGACTGGATCCTCTGAGCCAGGGAAGTTAGGCCAAAGTCCATGCCTAGCTCCTGTCTCCTCCCCCCGCGGCCCCAGCTCCAGCTGAGAGAAGAATCACAACCTTAATTCTCTTGAGCGCACAGCCTTTGGGAGCCTGTGGCTGGCAGCCGGTCCCATGGGACTATGTGAGCAAAACAACCAGCTGGACGGGAGCCTGAAGGCACTGGCGGCATGCACCCCAGTGGGCCAGCCAGGGCCCGGGCTGGCATAAGCCTGGACTGGCAATGGGAGATCACATTGTTAGAAATCACAGGCATGCCACCAAAATTAAAATTCATCTACCAAGTAATCATTCGGGAGCAAGTCGCTGTAATTGACCAAAGTAGCAAACTGCAATTATTGCTCAAAATGACATCCCTTCCTGTAACGACATTTAATACTCTCTAAAAAAATTCCTTAATTGCATGCATAATTTTAAATTACCGTAATTTGTTCATGAGTCTGTGAAACCCCCCGCTTTTCTTTTTCTTGAAAGATAAAAGAAACAGAAGGATAATGAATGCCTTAAAATTCGGTAACCAAGTTATACAATTTGGGGGATAGCGTAGAGGTAGGTGACACTGGAGTTCTATAAAACAAAGTAAAGATGAATAACTCTTAAAATTGCAAATATGTTAAAGAGGAAAGTTTATAATCCCAGGACGGTCAAGCTCGTTACATTATTACACTGTACCTTTTAATTTACCGTCTTAAAAACTCGTATTCAGCAGAGTATGATGTTTCCCATTTACTTTTCTCCACATTAAAATAACTTTGGGGCCCATAATTCATCCAAATGGTGACAACAGATACTGCCGTTTTAATTTTTCTTTCTTTCTTCCTTGCCATCATTATAGAATTTTATTAATTATGGAGAAGCCAAAAGATATAATTTTAACTGAAGTAAAAGATGAAACAGTGTTATTACAGTAAACTCATTTCCAATTTCTATAAAAAGTAAAACAGGGCTTCCCTGGTGGCGCAGTGGTTGAGAGTCCGCCTGCCGATGCAGGGGACGCGGGTTCGTGCCTCGGTCCGGGAGGATCCCACATGCCGTGGAGCGGCTGGGCCCGTGGGCCGCGGCCGCTGGGCCTGTGTGTCCGGAGCCTGTGCTCCGCAACGGGAGAGGCCACAACAGTGAGAGGCCTGCGTACCACACACACACAAAAAAAAGTAAAGCAAAAATTCTAAACACAATTCCTTCATCACGTGAAGTCTACGCTCGGCGTGTTCTCCACCTTGTGCAGAGTAACGCTATCTAAAAAGGAAGCGCTCACTTTGACCCCGAGCAACAGCTTAGAGCTCGTGCTCCTTAACTATAAAAGCGGCTTCCCTGTCCTCACCCCATGAAACTTGCACCTAGCTTCAGTCGGGACACAAGCCGTCAAGCCTAGCGGTCTGCAGAGTGAGTAGAAACGTCCAAAGGAGCAGGGCTGAGCACAAGGTTCCCAGGAGCGGCTCCCTGGGGCTGCTCTACTCCCAGGCACCCCACCCAGGGGTGAGCCAGGCTGAAATCCAATGTGCCCTCTGCCCATCAAGCCTGGAACCCCAACAGTGCTGAGCCCACCTGCACTTTTCTATTTGCAGAAGACCTTGTCCGAACCCACCAGGGGGTGGTGGCCTTTCTCTAACCAACACCCAAGCTCTTCACTGGGCAGCAGGGCTGTGGGTGAGTTGCCCCAGGGTCAGAGCACCGCTCGGTCCTTCCTGACACCCAGGCTCCTCCCTTCTATACACCAGCAGGCGGAGATGTAATGTCCACCACAGGGACTACAGTTAATAATACTGTATTATATATTTCAAAGTTGCTAAGAGAGCAGATCTTAAGTTTTCATCGCAAGAAAAAATTTATAACCATATGCGGTGATAGCTGTTGACCAGACCTTTTGTGGTAGTCATTTCGCAATCCAAAGAAATAACACATCGCTAGGTTGTACATCTGAGATGTAATGTTATCTGTCAATTATATTTCAGTTGAAAAAAAAAAAAAAAGTGAAAGAAAATAAATACAGCCTGCCCTCTGTATCAGTAGGTTCTGCATCTGCGGATTCAACCAACAGCAGATTGAAAATATTCAAAAACAAAAATTTCCAGAAAGCTCCAAAAAGCAAAACTTGGAATTTTCTGTGTGCCAGCAACTATTTACATAGCCTTTACATTGTGTTAGGTATTATAAGTACTCTAGAGATGATTTAAAGTATACTGGGGGTGGGGGTGGGGATGGGACTTTCCCAGCAGTCCAGTGGTTAACACTCTGCGCTTCCACCGCAGGGGGCACGGGTTCGATCTCTGGTCAAGTAACTAAGATCCCACATGTCGCAAGGCGTGGCCAAAAAACATAAAGTATACGGGAGGATGTGCGCAGGTTATATTCAAATACTGCGCCATTTTATATATGGGACTTGAGCATCCTTGGAGTTTGGTATCTGTGGGAGGTCCTAGAACTGATCCGAGGGACCACTATACACCAGGAAGGCAAGGAAGGGAGGGGAGGGAGGAAAGTCCACATCACCAGACACAGGAAATGCTCTGTAAGGCCCTGATCCCCAGACACACACTCACGGTGTAGGTGCTGAGGGTGGGACGTACTGACAGCAGGGGAGGGGAGGCAGAGGTCCCCCGGGGGTGGCCCCCAAGTGTCCTCCACGGCACCATCTCTGGGGCATGTGGCCCCCTTCCCAGGGGGATTTGATGAACCAAAGTGAGGAGAAGTAGAAGACAGATTCCTGGAAACTTCCAGGGCTTCCCTTGGCCACACTGCGACCATGTCAGGGCACCTTTGTGCTACTAAGGAGAGAACAGGTATGACTGTTCTCATGGAGGTGACTGAAGGGGAGAACATGACTCCTTGGGAAACAATGTCAGAGCTTTTGAAGGCAGCCAGACATGTCAGGGCCTGGGGCTGAAAGGCCTGGAGTCTAGCAGATGTGTCAAACAGGTGAGAAATCTAAAATGTGAAGACACGTATGATCTCATCTTACTTTGCTCTGGGAAGGATGGTGGTAAAGTGATGTGAGACAGTAATTTCCACATTCTGTGGGAGTTAACTCCTCTTTGTTGCCTTAACAGATACTCGGCCTCTGTGTGCTGCAGATTCTCAGACTGCACTAAATGAGGAGGGAAAATCTATCCTAAAAAGCTCAGCAGAATGTTGTGACATGATAGCCACTGACCGAGAGGGAGGAAGCTCTTGGTTCAG